CTGCAGTCTGGACCAGTGAGGGACTGAACCGGCATAGACCTGCAGGTGAACACCCCCCACCACCACCACCCTGCTGCCTCCACACAGAGACCGCTGTCTTGTTTGGGTTCAAGTGTTCTCGTCCTGATTTGTTTGTAATTTGGAATGATCTGTTTGAATGACTTCAGTAAGAGCTGTGACAAACTGAGCAGTCTACCTAAAACATCTGGACCAGAGAGTAAGGAACCAAACAACTTCTTGACCCGAGTCCTGACAAAGAACCAGGACAAACCTGGTGGTCAAACACAAACGGCCTCTTTCTCTTCTCCTGTAACGTTCACTGACGAGGTGGCAGAGTCATAAATCTATTTATAAATCTCAAACAATGATTCAGTCATTTCAAATAAATCAGAATGTCCAAACCAGAACGAGGCAGCTGTCCATGTGGAGGACGCAGGGTGGGGGTCACCTGCAGGTCTAGGAGCGTTCAGGCCCTCACTGGTCCAGACTCAAACATGAAACATCTCGTCAGACAGAACAGTTTTTGACAGTAACATTATTTATTAATACTTAAACAAAAATAAATGAAGAACAAGTTCATGAGCTGTTGTTTCACATTTTAACCACAAAATGTTTCATGTAGACAACAAAGTTCATGATCAATCATCCAGGTATCAAATCCAATAATTCTCAGTCGGGTCATCTGGACAGTTTCTTTTTTTATAGAGACATCTCGCCCTCTATCCAGAGGGCTTCATCAGTCTGAGGAGTTGCAGTAAACTGTTTCCCAACCTTGCAGTAAACTCCTTAAGTGGACCGACCAGTTTGCTGGAGCTAAGATGGGTTCTGGGGGCCGTCCTGTTCCTCGTCGACTCCTCCCAGGCAGCCACAGACAAAGTGGTTCAAGTCAACAAAGTTCATGCTCCATCATCCAGGTAGAAACCTTTAGAAAGTTCTGAATGCTGCTGGTTTTGTAACTCAGATATTCTCAGACTTTCAGAGTCCAGAGGAGGTTTCTTTGAGATTTCTACTGATAAAGGCTATTTACGTTTTCTGATAAAGATAAAAACTGAGACTACAATAATAATAATAATA